CATAGCCACTGTGCAAGTTAAATTCACAGTCTGAAAACTGGCTAGTGAGCATTTATTTGCCCAACTGTCTGGAGGCAGATTGCAGTTTTAATGACAAACTGATAACTTCAATAACATTTTACGACGCCCAACTGTTATCAGCCTCTTGAGATACGCATATTGCAGCCAACTCCTTCCTTCAAGGTTACAGACAGCACAGCGTCACATGCTATAAATTTAAGTGCTTACACCATTCTACTTTACGACTTAAACAAGATCCAAATCGTAGTTACTCATCTGGTTGATAACAGGCACTTCACGCTGTATGTAGCATAGAGTATACCATACCATATAAAGTATACCATACCATATAAGTGCACTTCAGGTCGTTAAGATTAAAGCCAAGTTCAACGAAGGATCAGGGCCCCGTATCTCGAAGCTTCGCTATGTTGCGCACGGGCGCGAGCATGGCGATTCCGCGCTATTTGCGAGTGCGATTGCACCCACCTGCTATTTCGGAACCTTAGCAAACGCAACGCAATTATAACCTCAAACTCTATTAAAATTCGACTGCCGCATGAAGTGAAGACGTCATAACACAATTACACAATACAAAATGTAATTTTTTTACCATGACGCTAATCAAGAGGTTTTTATTTACAGGATTATCATAATTACAAATACTGATCTTTGAAGTGTTTGACACCAATAAAATGTCAAAAAAAAAAAAAAACAATTCAATAAGCGAAGTATGGACTGACACAATTACTGAAACATTTGTGAGTAGTGTTCAGTCTCACAATAATAGATATTGAGGAAGGTCACGGTACGACCGAATGCTTGGTTTCTGCTTTTTCATTTTGGGTAGAAAATGACACTTTAAAATTTATGATTAATATCAATAGACTACACAGATGAATTATATTCATCAGAAAATATAAAATGATGTATGAAATGTTTAATTTTGAATTTTTATGCATAATAAAACATGACTTTAGCATTCTTCGCGTGAATATTAACCGCCAGTTTTTCTATCAGAGGTGCCGAGTGATTCAATCTATTATAAGCTTCCATATTTTTTGTTATATGTTTTATTATATGCTATTATGATTGGAAACCCAAACTTACCACCACGTTTAATTCCATGAAAGACACATTAAAATGACAAATTATGCACACGCAGAGGCCATTGCGACTAGTTTGTATCGCCGCAAATAATAGCCTCGAAACTAATGGTGATTTTGCCATTAGCGCACGGCCGCGATTTGTGAAGCTTTCGAGATATGGGATAGCGCACGCTCGCCATAAGCGAAGCTTTCGAGATACGGGGCCCAGGTCTGTAGTTGCTTCTTGGTGGTGTTTGGTTTATTGTTTTTATACATTATATACAGGGTTACTACTTAATATGGAATATTGTTTTTGGCGAGTTTATTTTCTACAAAATATTTATTTTCTCTCTTACTACTTTAAATCCAAAACTGAGGTGTCACTCCATGTGTAGCCAGGTGTGTTACCTAATTACCACACAACTCTCGAAACAATTGATGCATGCAGTTGCATGTTCTATGGTCAGAAATGTGAGGGGTGGTCTTTTCGGCAATTTCTGCCCTTGTATAAAAACGCATGGGTTTGGCCAAACTTTGGAGTGTATTTAGAGAAGCAACAAAGGGATCGCTCTGAAACTTGACAGGTACCTTAGAGAAGATATGGTTCGACAGCTATGCAATGCACCTTACTATGGGATTCTTGCTCTCAGAGAAAATGGCCATAAACGGACAGCCATTGCCAGGCAATGCAACATTTATCAGGAACCGTTAGTGAAGTCCTCCAAAGAAATGCTACAACAGGGGCACCTACTCCAATACCTAGACCAGGGTGTCCGTGTATCACACCAAGAAGACAAGATCGCCTTCTCCTTAGAGTGCGCTGGTCGTACAAAGACAACCAGCGTCCACAGAAAAGAGTGGCAGAATGTCATTCTACGTAACGCCCGTTTCAAGGTCCTTCGTGAACAAGAGATTACTGCAAGCCGGTTATTTTGCACGAAGAACAGTAGGGAAACCACTGTTAACAACAGGATATATTCAGCGACGTCTGCAATGGGCTGGTGATCACGTGCGTTTGCAGCCAAAACACTGGAATCACGGCGCTTTCGGTGATGAGATCAGATATGGAGTTTTTAGGGTTGACGGTCGAATCCGTGTCCTCCGACGTGTACGACGATGATTGTGTACTGCCTAGAGTGCAAGCAGGGGTGGTAACGTCTCTGTTTGGGGAGCATTTCATGCCCTTGCCCAGAACCAGTTGATTTTTCTAGGAGGCAACCTCAACCAGGGTTCCTACAGAGACATTCTACAGCAAACAATACTTCGATTCGTAAGAGTCATCTTCAGGAACAACTTTGTGTACCAAGACGACTGCGCAACCCCACATCGAGCTTTAAACTTTTCAACTGACAATTTTATGGACTCCGCGGACATTTACCCTCTTTATTTATCAGATATCGATGAGAGGAAATCCACCTGTAGGAAGAGCAACGTAAGTGGGGATACAGTGTATGAGTGTTACTAATACTTTCATGTAAAATAGTTCATGACGTGGATTAACAACAGGTATACATATTTTAACAGATATTTGTCACATTTTATAGAGTCAGACGTAGAATAGGTCTGTGTTTTTTTTATATAAAGACCATTTAAGGGAACTGCTCTATACCATTAAAAATTGATGAGCCGTTGTTGGTCTCATTTCAGTCTTTAGAAAATAACACAGTAAATGCAGATGACAAGCGGAAGAGCAACGTACGTATGTAGAATGGCTCTTACTGGTACTTTCGCGAAAAAAAATTGAGCATATTGAGTAACAAACGGCATACATATATATGCATTTTGACAAACATAGGGTCACATTTTTATAAAAGACAGGCGTGATACAGAGGCTTGTTATATATATACATATATATAGCACCTTTTGCTGAAACTACTTTAAAATATGTACATTTTACATCTCTTGGTCATTCCAGCCCCCCTTAACAAGAACGTAGAGAACCTCCACTATGCCGATTTGACACTACATGACAACCCCAAGTCGCCCAGGGAATAGGATCAGCTAAGTTCACAACGTTAACCATAAGCCCCAGCGACGACAGAGTAGAGTACGCAGCTGTGATGGCCTCCTAAAAAAGTGATATATCATTTCTAGTTTTTACTAGGCATTCCGATTTTTTATGTTGGTCATATTTCACTTTTATAAAAAAAACGCTAAATGTTTACTCTGGTTTCTATATTTTTTGCTCTTGGAGATGGTGCAGGCGGTGTTTCCTTACAAAATTTTCATGCATATGTAGGCAATGTAGATAAAATGATTACATTTCTTACGATGTCTTTTAGACACAGGAAATGCATACAAACTAAGTAAACGCACTCGATATTTCTTAGCAGAACTCAATGCCGGTTTTATACAATTTTGGGTAAATTATTTCATTAATTCCCTATATTTTTCACTTTATTATTTATTTTTGTTTTGACAATTAATGTTAACATTATATTGAAAACAGTGGAAAAGATGTGAGAAAGCTCTCCACCCGAGACACATTTTCCAGATTTCAGTTTCCGTCTGCTGATATATTTATGTAGCAATACATGCTGGGTATTATCTGTGACTCCATATAAATTATTACTGACGCTTAACATTAGACCCAAGCTGAGGTAGCACACTACTAGCTTATGTTTATCTGCATATATTAAATATTGCTGTATTTACCAACTTCAACAAGACATGAACCATGGCAACCAACCTAGCAACGCGCAGATAACAGGTGCTCCACACTGCATCTATCACACAGAGCTAGGTCACAAAATCATCTAAGGTCACTAGGGGTCACAGTGATTGTATGACAAACACGTCGAAAGACGTGAGATATTGAATTGTCAGAATATTCCTCCTGATACGCTGTATACAGACTCGTCTCAAAGATGTACCTAATGACCCCTTGCTCAAAATAAGGGCCAAAATGATGAGATGAATATATGCTTCCTATAGTTTTTTCATGGATAGCTAAATTATATGTACAAGACATTTATCTTTTTAGTTTAGAAAAATTGATTTGAAAGTGTTTAAGCACCTATTGTGAATAGAGTTTTTTTATATTTCTAATTATTCCTTTAATCGGTATGTGATCTAATAATAATAATAATAATAATAATAATAATAATAACTTAAAGAATGTTGTTTTGATTTTCTTATATTCCATTTTATTTCATTAATAGATATGTACAATATTAATTCAAAAACCAAAAATAAAACGTATCCCCATTTTACCACACTAAAACTGAATTTATTGGGATCTTAACGATAATGACCGGTTTATAGCAAGAAATGAATCATGCTTATCCCTATCATAAATGCTTATGTCATAAATCTAGTTTCAACACACTTGCCTGGACTAAAAAGAACAATTGCATCCTATCAATCTAGCCTACTTATTGCAATCGTACATAAAACAAATCCCTTACTTCTTCTGTATGCAACCTAATTATTTGAATGAGAATTGTATCCTGGTAATTTTATTAAGATCACTGAAGTCGTTTTTATGTCTTCCAAACGATCTTCAACTATGTAAATTATATCTCATATATATTGTTGTGAATGTAAATCTAAACAGAAGGTATAAAACATCACTTGGTTAATAGCCAAATACTGAACACAATATGAAAACATATTCTTCTCCTTCCCTCCAATTTCTAATAAGTCAGTGTCAGTTAGTATTGAGTCAAAGAGCAAGCATATCCATTTGTATCCACATATCCTGTGATTACAGATGTACGTGATTTTGAAGAAATTTACGCCTGAACAATTTTGCATTAGATTTACGAAGCCACTTCATACCCACACAGCGTGCAGCAACAGTGGCGCCCCATTCATTAAATATGATTTAACACTAAAAAAACAACTAAACGCTAATAAGAAAAAATACGATTTTCGGCCTCCACATCTTTTACTTACATACAGATTCTTATGAAATCTCGATTCTTTAAAAAAAACAACAACAAATAAATCCACTTCACAGTTTCTCTCCTTTTATCTTATTTTCAACGTTGCCATAGGCGCTCTCTGAGAACTGGTTCAGATCGACGTGGGTGGTCACCTCTTCTCTCAGTAATTTCTCCAGGTGGGCAACCAACTCCTCAAATGTTGGACGACATCCAGGGTCTTGTTCCCAACACCACGTCATAAGCTTGTATCTGTAATTAGAACACGTCTGTAATATTAATAATTTACTGTATATTATGTAGATATGAAACGTCCCACACTCATTTTACACAAACTGTAAGTTATCCGATAAAAGTTCATTGAAATTTCAAATTACATTTAAGGCATGTAGAGTTTTTGCTCTTGGCAAAAAGAGTCCTTGCATACGATATATCCCTATCCCATTTAAAAACAGCAAAATATACACACACAAGTAAATAAAACATTTACACTGCGGATGTACATCCGTTATTTTTTCAGTGCATCACTGTATTTAGAACTAGTATAATAGTATGTTGCTTTGCATGGGCTGCAAACCATTTGTATATAAAATACAAAGGCGGCAATTACATCATTTCATGACTACTAATGGTACACGTAAACGCAATTGATTAATTTACATTGATTTTCGTCCACTAAAAGACTTATTCTGAATGGAAATAATTGTCATCAAAGAGAAATTTAGCGTCATTAATGACTAATAAAAATCAAAAGGAAATTTCGCTGGCTATGAAACCCTAAGTACATCGCAAAATTATTAATAGATACAATTAAAGTAAAATCTTACAGTTCTGGAGTACAGTGTTTTGGTTTCTCCATTCTGTAACCTTGGTCAATTTCTTTTAGTAAATCTCTCGCTGAGACCATGGTAGGATAAGGAGTTGCTCCTAAATAGGGAAAAAATCCATTTATAACTCTTTCAACTATCAATATTTGTTATACATAGGCGGTGCTATGTGCATTTTCATGGAAGTAAATTGTTTTTCTGAAACAATGTTCTTAAACGAAAATATTGCAAAGTTATTTAGGTCACATACAGTCATTTAGTTTTCTTTACATGCTTTGTGCTGCATGTCCTTTCGTGTTTTTTTTTTTTTTTTTTTTTTTTTTTTTTGTCATTTCTAAAGGAACTTAATGGAGTTCTAAATGTAGATATTGCTGAAGAAATTAAGTGGTGTCCAAGTGAGCACTAGACAGCGACACTGTAAAGTTAAAAGTTCACAATTAGTGAACAGCACGTTCAACTTACCTAAAGTGACAATCTCCCANTTTCTGCTTTGATGTTGTCATTTCCTGCAGCCTTTCCGTTCTTCATTTTCTGGACTGCTGACTCTACTTCCCAAGCTGTTATGTCTGGTAGATCGCATGCCTTTATTGAGATTTCTATTCCCTTGTTGCTGTCATACAACTCTCCATAGAATTCTTCTACTCGTTCTAATATCTGGTCTTGTGTGGCGAGCTCATTTTCATCTTTGTCTAGAAGAGTCAGCATTCTATCCAGCCCTAGTTGAAAGGATCTCTTTGCTCTTTTCATGCTCTTTCCATTTTCGATGGTCTCTGCTATCTTCTTCATGTTCTACATTGGGTGTGATGGCCTAGTGGTTAGCACGCTTGATTCGGATGTGAGGGGTCCCGGGTTCAAATCCTGTAGCCGGAACTTATCATTCTGGTAAACATGTAAAACCAGTACTACCTGTATCATGCGGGGGGTCAGGCCCCGTAAGCTTCGAACTCTACACAAAAAACCCTACTGCCTTAGTAGCAAAAATCCAGCCGGATCATAAGGCTAGCGGAGGAAAACCGTATACAGACACAGGGCAGGCAAAGCTCTTTAGTGTGTTCACACAAGTATGCCTAGGAATGGTGTTGCCAACTTCAACACCCTCTCCCAACCCGCAATGGCCAGCGTGGGATGAGTAGGCCTAAAATCCAGCATGAAACGACCAACAAACACACGGCCTCCAGTACCCAGCTGCACAAAAGCCCTGAACTTAGGAGGTGATCCTGGTTCAGACCAGCAGAGTGCAGGAGGTGCTAAGAATCTCTGGGGCAGCAAGGATCACCGAACATCAAGACCAGTGAAAAATTTCAACATCATTACTTACAACATAAGAACTCTGAAGAACAATGAAAGACTTGCAGAATTGGAAACTGAACTCCAGGACACCGGAGTTAAATGGCATGTGATAGGCTTGTCAGAAATTAGGCGAGCGGAAGAATGCTTAATTACCTTGAATAGTGGACATATATTGTACCATACAAATGATTCAAATGGCCAACAAGGAGTTGGATTTCTGATACACAAAGCGCTAAGCAAGAACATCATCGAGGTAAAGCAAATAAGCACAAGGGTGGCTACAGTCAAGCTCAAAGTGAATCAGAGATTCTCAATGAAACTCATTCAGGTATATGCACCAACATCAAGCAGACCAGATGAAGAAGTAGAACAACTGTATGAAGAAGTACAACGTCAGTTGACAACAGACTGCCACTACCACATAGTCATGGGTGATTTCAATGCCAAGATCGGGATAAAGTCAGACGAACAAGAGCGTGCCACAGGGGAATTTGGCAGCAGAGAGAGGAATGATAGAGGAGACTTACTGATTGAATGGGCGACAGCAAATAACTTGAAGATCATGAATACCGTCTACAAGAAGAAGATATCAAGAAGATGGACATGGCAAAGCCCAGATGGATGTACAAGAAACGAAATTGATTACATCATGACAAACAGACCGAACATCTTCACGGATGTGAAAGTGCTAAACAGACTGGATGCAGGCAGTGACCACAGAGCAGTAATGGGAGTGATCAGGATCAATGTCAGGAAGGACAGACAGAAATGCCTGTCAAATCCATCAAAGAGACCTAGTATCGAGCAACTGGTCATAAAGAAAGACGAGTTCCAAATCCTCCTAAGGAACAGATTCAGTGCACTAGAGCTAGAAGGTGAAGATGGAGTAGATGAAATGAACAATAGAAAAACGACCACCATCCTAGAATGTGCATCAGAAGTCGCACCGGCCAGTAAAATGAAAGACTCAAAGCTCTCAACAGAAACAAGGATTCTCATGAAGAAAAGACGGATGATGAAGAAAACGGAGGTAAACAACAACAGGGACATCAGAAACAACATCGAATATGCAGAACTGGATAAGACCATCAAGAAGAAGGCAAGGGAAGACATCAGGACATTTGTAAAACACAATAAGAAATCGACGAAGTTATAACAACTTTTTAACCTACGAGTTTACTAGAAACTAACAACAAGGGTCTTCCAACAAATTAAAGCGTTTTAGAAAACGATGACACTCCGAGGAGAGTCAAACTTGAAAAGATGTCTACTGTGGCGTAGGCTGTTTTTTTTTCTGCATATCGTCAGAGCATAACAAAACATCTCGAAGCGGCTTTATGGACGCAGTGTGCGCTCGATTACAGAATATGCCTGCCCAGTGTAGCACGCGCACTTAACTGTGGCGCGCGCAGCTCAATCTCTTATGGTGAAGCTTTGACCTTGTCAGATAGGCTAAGTTTAGATGAACTAAAAGATCTGTGCAAAACTGATTCATATTTTTATTGGCAAATCTAATCGTCTTTAAATGAGAAGGCCGTTTATGAGTGGATTTTTCAACCCCAGTTCTCTCACTGCATTCCATGTTGCGCAGAAGCACGTCAACATGGTTGACAAGAAGTGAGGTCTGTCAGAAAATATAAATTTTGGGGTGAATTTATTTCATAGCATTTATCCGTTAAGAAATTATTTTCATTGATTCTAAAATATAGAAAATACTGACAGGTGAGTGCAAGGAACTCAAAAAGTATTTCCGGAGTATTCTTTTATGATAAATTAGTAAATCAATTTATTTATTCATAGCGGAAAACATGTATACAAAGACAATTTCATGACACGAATCTATAATAATAGTAAATTAATGCAAATCGTGCAAGGTTATTCCGCTACCCGTTTGATGCATTCCCTACCCTCTACCAGGGAGAGATTGTATAGGGAAAAATGGAAAAAGTCGTAGATTGAAGAGAGGGCATTAATCCCGAATTGTAAAACACTTTGATTTTGAGAAAAAGAATTCCTATTTAACAGCAAAAGACCCGGAAGAAAGCTTGCTAAATAATTCGTGCTCTTTTATGTAATGCCCTCGACCATTATCATTATGTTTGAGCCATGAAATCGCGATTTGAGGCCTTAATTTAGCGTTCGCCATCCCAAATCCGTGGCTTGAGATCACAAACAGCAGTTATCGTTAATGAGGCCTGCATGTGCAGTTTTGCAGAAAAGACAGTCATTCACAAATAAACCCCGTATACTCAGTGGTCGTTGTACAGTCCAGCCCCACGTACCCTTGGTTTGGCGCATACTGGTATGGTAGGACTAGGCACCTCTTTCCCCAGTTATCATCAAGGCTTCCTCCCACTTGAAACGTCACAGGATTATAAAATGAAGATCCTGGACTGTTTTTCCAAGTGCAACTGCTGTTAATACACTCTGCGTCCAACCAATAACCACGATCTGAAATATATTTTTCCAGAGTAGATGTTTTTGAAAGATGTTTGAAAGAAGGCGTCTTTCTCCAGTACAAAATTTACTAGAAAGTAAAGTTTTTGCGTACGATGAATTGTTAGAAATGTCATCTTGAAATTATGCCTTAATGT